TTTTTTTTTACATCTTTTACATTTTTAATCAAATTGTATTAATAATATAAAATTATTGACTACGGCTGAGTTCACCTCTCAGCTAGGCCTAACCAGAAGCTGGGAAGGCGTGGGTCAATCATCCCAGCTTCAGGTTGAACCTAGTTGAAAGGTGACTGGACCACAGTCTATAACTGTTCTGTTACAAGACCATGATCGTGAATTTTTAAGATAACTGAAAATAATCAAGCCACAGTAAGAACTTATTGATGAAAGATCTGGCCACCGCTCATTCAGAGTACATGGAGATCCAAGATGGCAAAGTGAGTTAGCTGACTGGGAAGTAAACTTACTCAAATAACCAATAGTACCAATACTCACTGTTCAGTAATTTCACAGATAATTTTCATCACCCAAGACCTATACATTTCCTCACTTATTGTAGTTTTGTGCTCATCCAGGAACATTTTCAGTGGTTTGAGGAGACTGTTCAGGTAACCAGAAGTCTTGGAGGGAACCTGGATTATAATAATTAGGGTGCTGATTAGTCTGAATTGATTCCTTTTTCAGCATATATATTTGACATTGCAATTATGCTTGGAGGAAGATCTGTATTTGAAAAGACCAATGTTAAATAAGTGTTTTTTTACAATTTTCTTCCATCATCAAAATATACTTGATCCAACGTGAAGATTTCAAAGGAAGGCTGAATGTGATATTGGTGTTATTACCAAACTAGTTATGCTGCATATTCTAGGAGATCACACCTTTGCTAAAATATTTCAGAAATATTTCTTTAAAAGTTACACTGGTAAATTTGACTTCAAATAATGACAAAAATTTGCGAAATTTCAGGGTCAGGGAAATATTATACCAGCTATGCTGTCAAAACTGGAAACTGGAGTTCCAGCTTAAAGGCTATACTGATTTTCAAATGTGACAGATATCAAATGTTAGATACACTAGAAATGGTAATTGATTGCTAAATAATTCATAGCTGAATGGCATTTACTGCATTCAAATTCAGTTTCAAGAGAGCAGAGAGGCAGCTGCAAGTGTGATGGGGAGAATTAAATCAAAATGATTTGTTTATAATTTGATTTTTAATCATATCAATTTCTGAAAGCACTAGTATATAAAAAGTATATAAACAGAGGTCCAAATTTTTCACGTGTTATTAAGCAGCAACTGTTACCAAGCCCCAAAAAACCATTCAATGTAGGGAAACTTACTTTTACCTCTGCCAAGGAGGTAAAGTTTTTGGTTCCTTAGTTTATTAGTTTATCTGTTAGCAACATTATGCAAAAAGTTATTGAAGGATTTTGACGAAATTTTTAGATAGGTCAGAACATAACCAAAATTCAATACTGAAACCAGCATTGTGGATTCAATTCCACATGGATAAGTACTGCATAGTAAACTAACCTCTCTGTTTGTCCTACGATATAGTCTAGGTATGTCATTGACTAGCTTCAGGTGAACTGAGCACTGTGCAGTGATATCTTTTACAATATATTCACCAAACCCTGGAAGATGCTTCGTGATAGATGTCTGGGACTCCTGGAGACTTTCTACAAGGTGAAAAAAAAGCACATTTTAAAATGTCATCCCAAATAGCACTTTGGTGCACATTTTTAAACAGAGTTTCAGATGTGGATGATACCAGTGTGCCTTGTTGGTAATGACCTCTGTTGCTTTTTTCTATACATGAAACTCTTAAAATAGCTCAGGCTTTCGAGGTGCAGAATTGGCATTACAAAACCACAACCAGCACAACCCCTATTTTAACATTTTAGGCCAGTATTTTGACATATTATTTTTGTACAAAATAAAATATATAAGGAGTTAGGATTGTAGACCTACCTTCCAGAATAGCACTATCCTGACATCCTGTTGTTTTCAATTTTGGTTTGATTACTTCAGTAAAAAAAGCTGTAACCTAAAATATATGAAAAAAAAAAATAATAATTGGGAAGCAGAAGGATTAATGAAATTTTAAATTACGAAATCCAGCCTTTTATAAAACATTTTGGAGTTTCCTGGTAGCATCAAGTATGAAAAGATCCCCAGACTTAAATGATAATGAAGGATTAAAAAAAAAAAAAAAACAATAGGGCAAACAATTCAACGAACACAAAACTAATATTGCTTACCCCTAAGTAAATAATAGCAAGTTAGGCATTGCACACTTTTACACAAAGCTACATCACACTCACATACTAAGGCAGTGATTTCTGAATCATTCTTACCTTGGAATCTACTCTGTGTGCATCTGCAACCATGGCAACCACCTGTCCCAGGGTGACGGGAGCAGGACGTGGTGCCAGAGCAGGAGGATCACCACTCCCTGTCCCAGGGTTAGAGACCCCAGGGTCTGCTGAATTTCCATCCTTTTCTGTTAGCTAATATATAATAATAATAATAATAATAATAATAATAATAATATAGAAAACAAAATGGTTGCAAATAAAGCAATCACTATTAATTTGATTCTTAAATGTTACAGATGTTTTTATAAGTTATTAAAAATGCAATAAACCAAAACACCCCTCACTCAAGTTCCCCAAAATACTGAATCATTTAATAATACACAAAGTACCTACAAGAAATGAAAAATGCAGATTAATGAAATGCAGATATAATCTAACAAAATCGCAGTTGCACAATACAAACATATAGATTTACCTCTTTAGCATGCACTGCCTCAATCCAGTTTGAATACCTGGCCAGTAGCTGCAATGTGAGCTTCCAGAATCTGTGACAGAGCCCCGAGAGGAATACATCATCAGACCAACATTTGCACAAGCAAGACCACAACACTGTGGTGGAATGTAAGTGAAACTCTTTGGAATCTGGAAAAGTAAAAATAATAATAATAATAATAATAATTATATAATTATTGGTTATAAAAATATATCCGATTTAAAACCATACAACAATAGTGAGTTTGGTGTTGTGCTGTCCTTTAACATCATTTAAAAACTACATTACATCTGTAGTAAATTTTGAAAACTTTGAAAAAAGGGGTTTAGTTTTTGGCCTTTGCAAAAAAAAAAAAAGTAGTCTCCCTAATGACTTTTAACTTTTTTGTATCTTTGAGTATGGGTCAAGCACAAAATTGTGTCTTCATTTATATTTTTATGTTAATAGTGTACCTAAAATTTTGGAATTATTGACAGAACTTAAAACTTGAGAGCAAAATGGTCAAATTTACAGACATGTAACTGAAATAAAAGTCAACCCCCTTTCCTCCATTTTAAGATAAGCAGGCACATTCCAGTGTCTGTTTAAAAAAACATATTACCTGCAGTGACATTAAATGGTGTCAGCAAGGCATTCTCAAAGCTTCCAGCAACTTCTTGAAACCTGCAAATTTAATGTAATTCAAGCATAATAAGTTATTCTGTTTTGATATCGTTAAATATGGTACTTGGCAAACAATAATTCTTAATATTGTTCTTTATAGTACCAGGCAGGTACTAGTTTTTTATATTGTTCCTTTGAGTACTTAACAACTACTTTTATCCCAGCCTGGAAGAAAAAAAAAACTTGATTATTAACATACCTTATCTGAAAATATACAGGCAGGCTCCACTTAGACATGAAGGTATTGAAAGATGGATGAGCCCTCAACCTCTTGACACTGGCCTGGGAGCCACACTGGCACTCAAACTGGTCTACAAATTCCATGCTTATGTTGTATCTCTGGAAATCAAAATTAACAGATTTCATATTACAAATTTTTTTAATTTTTTAAAAACATATAATTGTAGACCCCAAAACGTTGTCACCATTGCCATCTTATACCAATTAATTTTATAAGGTTATCTTCTTCCTTCATGGAGAGGGCAATTAATTTACACAAATTGTTCAAATCTTATGCCAAGCAATTAATTTTCTATTCTTGATATCCCCTTCTCACCTCATGGAAGAGGTCTGGATTTCCAGGTGCAAATATAAATGGAATGTTCCCTTCCACATTGCTGACTATTTCAGGCCACACAGCATTAGTCAAGAAGTCATAGCCACGGACAACCTCTCCACTGGTGCTGCAATAAAAACAGTATTGTGTGCATGGCCCCACACTTCATCTGTTCCATAAAAACACAATAGTTTCTGCTAAAACAGTACAGCAACATTTATATTATCAAAATAAAGTTACATCTTTTTGCTTTAAGACAAAGTGCTGATCAGAGTATTATAGTATTATCATAGTATTATCTACCTTTTTAGAGAACCTGAAGTGACTTCTTTGATCAGTTTACAATGGAGGGGTATAAACTCCAGTATTTTGTGATACATTCCCCGCAAACCTTGTGTATTGGTTTTAATGAACTGGTCACTTATAACCTGGAAATATATGCAGATACTGACCTATCATTTAATACACATAGTTTAACAATATCACCATTTTACTTTTGTTCAATGCCACGTGTACACTGACATCTACATCAATAATAATAATAATAATAATAATAATAATAATAATAATAATAATAATAATTCTGTTAATCTCCCCTTTCCCTATCAAGTGATCTGCTTATCTAGGTGTAGCGTGAAAGTATTTATATATTATTTACTTTCCTAGGTACTCCAAAACACTCCCAAGCATGCATCACTGCAAATGCATCCATACTTACTTCTTCCATGTATGGTTTCACTGTATACTGCCTGAAGAGTTGTTCTGCATCTTTCATTTTATCTATTGTGGCATAGGTGCGCAGACACTGCCGAAGGATCTCTGGGTTTTTCCTCTCAAGGCCTTCTCTGAATGAGCCTTCCAGACTGAATTGCAAGGTGGTGGTAATGGCAGAAATTCTCTGTGGGGAAAAAAAGCGCACATTAAAGGATCTGATATACAGTGGTAACTCCCTCAAAGTCAGAGAAAACAGGGAACTTACATCAATGGGGATCCTAAATTAACTGTTGCCTGAACATTGACCAGATCCACATTATTTCAAAAAGTCTCAGTGAATGAAAAAAAAAAGACATTTAGTTGTTTGACAACAATGCCATGTCACATTATTTCATAAAAGGCTTACTTTTAAGCACCAAAGAACTGTTTGAAAAAAAAATTATCATGTGATATTCTTACAGCATTTTTCTCTAAATGTAGTAAGCTAAGTGCCAAGGGAGGAGAAAATAACTTACTGGTCTTATCTGTTCCAAAAGAGGGAGTCCTTTACTTTTATTAACATAAAACTGAAGCTTGTTGAACTCAGTTGCCACCCTTTCTATCAGTTGTCCATTCAATTCACTGCATAAAATGAAAGACAAACCTAAATGTTCTTTACAATGCAAAACCTTGTAAGAATTACAATTCATATGAGACACAGAAGAACATCCAATATTAAGTAAAGTTTGCGAGTATTGTGAATACAAACTATGCGAAAATATAATTCTTGGTACAAGTCCACATGTAATCAAATAACATGATTTGCTGTTCAAAGACAACTAACTTTTTTTCCATTCAGCTAAAAATGGACACTCTACCTTGCTGACTGCTTAATCTGCTCTTCATCTGCTTCTGGTGGTATCCCCAATAGCTTCTCCATCTTCTCCACACAATGGATGATATTCATTAGCCGCTGAACACAGGCCTGAGAAATGTTAATATGCATATAGATAACACTTATCAAGTCTACAGAGTAAATTACAGTTATGTATTTGATTTATATTCCTTTTCAACAAAGAATCCTTCTGCCATGTTAAACATCTCTGAATAACAGAACATACAAATAAATGCAAATACAAGTTAAGCAAATGAAAATAATGACAGAAAATTTAAAACATAATAAAACGACACTGAATTACTTTGAAAGTGCAGAACTTCAATACCTTTTTGTCCCTACATTCTGCTCTTTTCTTTAATTTCTCTTCCACTGTACTGATAGCTTCATCCATTGCAGATCTGGCAGCCTAAGGAATGAATTTCAAGCAGAGTTAAAATCCTAGCTAAAAGCATTTTAACTCAAAATACAAACTTTACTTTTAAACTTCTCAGTACATGTGACTGCAATCTCAAAACAGTAAAAAAAAAGTTGTAATAAAAATTTGTTATAATTTTGGTTGCATAAAGAACACTTAATATATGCATTTGTTGATTGGCTGTCACTAATCACATCAAATTGTCCTGCTTACCAAAACTTCTTCTTGAAAGTGTTCAAGTGGCACAGTTAGATTGCTTATTGCTTTGTCCATTCCAACCTAGAAGATATAATAAAATATCAATGAAGAACTTCAATCAGCTTGTTGTTTATGTCTAATGAAACAGGCTCCATATATTATGCATTTTAGTATAATTTCCCGAACTGGAAGTAAAGAAGTTGCTAAATCAGATGTTTTCTGCAGGAATTCAGGCACAACAATCGAATGATGTTGGGAAACTGAAAGAGTACAGGAATTCTTGAAAATTAATGAGAGGTGCAATAAATGATAACTACATAAAAAATATCAATATATACTCACCAGATTGGTTGAAAGATTGACAAAGTCTGCATAATCCTTGTTGATGAGTTCTATCATGGCAGTCTTAAGCACCTTAAGGTAAACACTGAGATCATCCCGCAAGGTTTCCAGAGGAACTCTTCTACGACACTCCACAACAAACTTGTCAACATCAAAATCATCCTGGAAATTTTGTATTTATTAAAATATTTCATTCCTAAATCAATTAGTTCAAACAGTTAAATCCTATTTCATAGTGTTAAAGAACGTATAAAACTTAGCATTCAAACTCAATAGGTACTGCATTAAATAACATTTATTTATGTCTTGTGAACTATTCTCGATTGAGAAGTACGTTGAAAGAGACGATCTAGCAAATCAAGTTAGTCTAAACACAGCGGCACCAGTAAATAAGACAATACCCGCATAAATTCCTCCTTATTAAAACACAGTGTCGAGGGCCCACTGGGCAGTGGATTTCTCACAGCATCTGTTGCCATCATTACCATCTTTCCTTGCAAAATTTTCTTTTAATTTTTGTCCATTTGCTTTCCCAAACCTTGATTCTAAACCGGTCCACAGCAGACAACTTGGCAAGATGGAGGAAGTTTCTACTTTTCGTACTTTTTCTAGCGGAGAGCAGAGCACCTGCCGCATTCGGTAGACACCAGTGGGCGTCGGTCCCTTTCAAATAATAGAAATAATGCCAACAAGTGAAGTGGATGCATTTTAACTCTTTAAGAATAACCACTGAACAAATTAAAATAAAACGGTTAGAACCTTGACGAGCTAACCCGTCAGGACCCCCTGACCCCTTCTCTAAATCCGCCACTGCACTTGACGAAATTATATTAATAGCCTACTGTAGCTATAGATTACAATATAGGCCTACAATAGGCTACATGTATGTTTAGATGACACCACCGTCACGTTTAGGAAGTTTACCAGTTTTTCAATACGTCGTTTTTCAAAAATGAGTCAACGGTTGTTTAATTTGAATTTTCAGACTCTTGAATTGATTAAATATTGTCACAGACGCTTGGAATTTTTCAAACAATATAGGAGCTACATGTAGAAACATACACACACACACACACACACACACACACACACAGTTTTAATAGTTTTGTAAAGTAAATTGTTTGTAAAGTAACCGATTTTATCTCTGGTTCCAATATTTCGTAGGCCCTACAACAATGCAGATCATATGAGGTAGCCTAAAGGAAGCGTGGGCACTTGGTGGCTTCATGCGAGACTTGAATTACCAGTAGGTAGGCACCATGCAGTGTTGTGGGGATCCGCCATATAGATAAACGTCCCAATAAAATATTCGTCCCGATAGATACGTCTCTATACACACACGTCTCAATAGATTTACGTCTCGTTAAATTTACGTTCCGATAGATCCACCAACAGATTCCTATAAACCCACGTATCTTAATTAGATCCAGGTACCGCTAGATTCATCTATCTGACATCGTAATCGGCTAAAAGGCCCATATTAACTTGCGTTGTGAAGTTTAGAACACATTTTTATGTTCTTTTTTGTTTTGTTTTGTTTAGAACACATTTACATGTAAATTCAGAACACTTTTTAAGTGTTCGAATGTTACATTTTGAGAACGCTTTAAACAGTGTTCTGACGCTAGAACAGTAATTAAGCGTTGTGAAATATAGAACACACTTTTGTTCTTTTTATGTTCTTTCACCGAGTATTGTGTGAAAACGATCTAGTAGAATAATATATTGCTGACTGCGTACTGCCGTTTTAAAGAAGTGCATTTTATGTACTGAGTAGTATACCAACCATTTCGAGCAATAGTGTACCTGCAATGGATCTATCGGTATTTGGATCTAAAAATACGTGGATCTATAGGTGTGCGGATTTAAAGGACGTGGGTTTATGAGGACGTCATATCTATAGGAACGCAAATATATAGGACAGCAGAAAAAAATCGGATCTATCGGTATTTAAATCTAAAAAGACGTTTTTTCCGTTTTTCCTTTATGTATCTATCGGTAACGGGAGTATAGGGACGTGTAATATTTTGGGACTAAATTTTATCCGTACGTACCCGTGTTGTGAACCGTGAAAAACCTGGGTGTCTACTTTGACTCCACTCTCTCCATGGATAGACATCAAATATCACTCAGTAGGGGCCTAATGTATTAACATTAAAACATCGGTGCTATCACAGGGTTAATACGTAATATGGAATATTTGTTATTATTGTTATTTTTGAGTGCAGATTAAATTTTTTGGCTTTAGCCTTTTCATCAAAAAGGGTTTGTCAATGAGTGATAAAAATATCCAGTCTTCTATTGTGAGATATTTTGATCAATAATATCAAAACTGACATAAGATGTCATTTAAAAGAAAAGAACACCCCCGGAAAACCATACCAACAGTTTGATGTCAGTGTTAAGTTTAAGCTAAGGTATTAAAGAAAATGATAACCTCCGGACAGTGATGTGCTACACAGTCAAAGAAATCGTTACAGTAAATCATGAAAAGTAGGCCCTAATCAATAGCGGTTATGACTTCCAGCAGCAGCTTGCAGCGCCCTCACCCTACTTGACAAGTTTTTCAGAGTTCGGATAGGGATATCATTCCACGCAGTGATATGCCTATTTGCCTGTCGTAGGGCCTACTTCATCACGATTTACCGGCTGATGACCATAGCTGTTAATATTATAGGAGTTATTTCCGCCCACAGATTTTCTATTGGGTTCATATCTGGGGAGTTTGCAGGCCAGGGCTTGGTTTTGAAGAAAAGCAGTAGTTCGGCGAGCTCGATGTGGGTGTGCGTAGTCGTCTTGGTACAAAAAATTGTTCCTGAAGATGGCTCTTACAAAAGGAAGCATTGTTTATTTTTGTAGAATGTCTATGTAGGAATCCTGGTTGAGGTTGCCTTCTAGAAAAACCAAATGATTCTGGCCACCGGAATGAAATATTCCCCAAACATAGACTTACCTTTTACCGATTTCTTATGGGTCATGGTAATCTTTTAGACTCTTAAGTCACCGGTCTTTTATGGTTTGTCTCTTACATATCCCATGTTTATTTAAAAATGTTTTCATAAAAAGAAATTGATACTGAAAAACAGGCACAGTCAACAAAATAATAACATGTGAAGTCATTTAAAAGGCATTTAGTATATTTAGAATGCCATTGATCGTCAAAATCATCTATATAAATAATGTCTTAAGGAGTCAGTTTAGGTAGTTGGCGATGCCGTTCCAAATAGTGTTGTTCAAATCACTTACGTTCATAAAAAAGCCTAATATAACCACTCTGCATCTCTACCATCTAAGAAGCGACCCATGTTTAGAATTAGACATTTCTATAAGGGGAGATTGAGTACAGGTCAAACTACCATTCTAAGCTATGATCATCGCGACTGCGTCGATGGTACAGTGGTACTGTCGTCGGGTTTCCAAAGCCAATGTTTCGGGTTTAATACCAACGTTATGCTTTGAATTTTGTTTTATTCGCGTGTGTTTTAAATGTTTTAATTTCAAGGTAAAGAGTACAGGTTAATACACCAAAACATACAGGTGTCATTGTGTCCTCGTCGGTGGCGCAATGGGTAGCGCACCTATATGGTTACGAAGCCTTCTTCGACGCCGACAGACACGAAGACGCCTGGAGTAGGTTACGTGTACATGTAGGCCAGGCTAGGTGTAGGTCAGATCAGGCAAAGGTGTAGGTCAGCCTAGGATAGCCTAGGAGTGAGCTAGGAGTAGAAATAAAACTTAGAAAACCAAATAGGCATTGAGATATCGAGTTAGAAAATCCAATAGGTGTTGACGAAAAATAGACAAAGTTCTTTAAAAAAGTGACTTTAAATTTTTTCTGACATTTCCAGTTTGGTGTTTGGATTGATTTTAGTGTCAACTAGCAAAAGTTAATTACCCCCGAACACTAACAGCATTACTAGGCGTGACAGGCATTTAAGTCGGTTATAGTTGATAGCCACCGTACCGGATCTGGCAATATCTTGCTAAGGTTAGGCATGCCTGATGTGGACCAGATGCCCGAGGCTGTCTGGGGAAGACTCTGTTCTGTCTGTCTACTTGGGGGGGAAATCCAATGATTGATATGTTAGGAGGGCATGGCAGCACTGACCACCCCCCTTCGATTTCTGAGAAAAATCACACCTATGGTCCCCTCTTGAAATTAAAATTTTGACTAGCTGAATCAAAGTTCTTAACGTACCAAATAGCACCGTTCGCCCTCTAAAATACCCAATCTTTTCTGAGCCCTTCAGTTGGCCCCAAACCCCACGCCAAAGAAGGGTGGAGGGTCAGCTTTACATCTGCAACCCCCCCCTTCAAATAATTCTGGATCCACCCCAGTTATTTATTTTGAAATGGAACAAAACTGGTTCAAGTGCTAAGAAAAGACAACCAATAATTCTTTGGTAGGATTTTTTATTATTTATTCATTTATTTTATTATTATTATTTTTTGCTAGAAAATATTAGATTTGACACAAATATGTACTCAGTATATTGTATAGAATATACCTTCAAGGGTTTATTTTAGCAAGTTTAATAAAACTGCCCATATTTACATGTTAGTTCCATGGTGCTGGTCATCATCATCATCCGAATTTTTTTTATACTGGCCGGGATTAATCCTCAACAGAGGGTGGGGCTAGCACGAAAGTTCATGCGTTAGCACTCCTATTGACGATACTGATAATATTATGTACTGTCTGTGCAGATCTTAGCACAGCTCAGACAGTAGCCTACATATCAGAATCGTCAATAGGAGTGCTAACGCATGACACCCAAACCCAATATAGAGGTGCATTTCACATGCTGAAGTGGCAAAAAATAAAAATGAACGAATTCAAAATTGTGTTCAATATTTCAAAACATATATGTGTATAGAACAAAAATCCACGACTGTCTCAATTGAAATTCAATTTTTAATTTTTACCATGTCTTTAAAATTACGCAAAGAGCCCTATATGGTAACGTATGTTCCAAAAACGTACCGTGACGTATGTTCCTTGCCATTTAATTTTCATTTTTATGCCGCGTTCCGATGTATTTTTTAGTGGTTCAATCATGGTAAATTAGACATGACGTAAGGACGTTTTTATAAAATTAATATTTTAACTGTATCTCAAGGGGCTTTGCGTCATGGCTTATACTAGGGTAAGGTATGTTCCCTAGAAAAATTGTCAAAATGTTTCATTTTGTTCAAGTACTTGTGCGCAAGAGATACAATGTTTTCTTTTGCTGACCGAACAATATATTGTGGTTCCATGATAGTTTGACATAATAATATTTGAATCATGAAGGGAAAATTTTTTTATTTAATGCTTATTTTACTGTCGGTAGGGTGTATTTTCCCCATTTTATTAATATTCTGTGACAAGCAAACTTAAGTCGCTCAAAAACAATTAACTGCTATATACAGAAGATTATAATTTTTAGCAACGTTATGCTTGTAGGAGATAAATCAATGAACAAAACCAGTGATGACTGAATTTTCAAAGTGAGTAGAACGTTTCACAGTTGGACGTTTTGTATTTGTGACAGTAACGTATGTTCCTTTTTGGGGTTAAACGATGAATTATTTTTAATTATTCATGGTTCCAGGAGAGTGAAACTTTTATACAAGCTTCTTCATGTGGGACCCTAAAATAATCAAACACAGTTAGCAATATGTGGAGTAAATATTTTTAATAAGATGCTTGTGACATCAATTGCACCTCTATATTGGGTTTGGGTGATGAACTTTCGTGCTAAGGGTGGGGCCAGTCTGACGCGCAGTCTTCCTCTCCATCTTGATCAACGGATTCGAGTACTACTTGTCATAATACTGTGTGGCGTTTTTTACAGTGAGGCTGCCCTGCCGATCTCCAACTCTGACATTCATGGTAGAGACAACGCCGTTCCCCCAACGGGGCATTATGCCTTGCCGTTGTCTTCTATGCAAAGATCCTCCGCCAAGCCACGTGATGCTAGCACCAGAGCTGAGGTATGCTGCAGGCTGCTGCCAGCGTCTACTGCCACCCAGGTTGTGGCAGCTCGTAACCCAGGGAGGGGCCAGTAACTCAGGATGGGGGGCTAAAGGGTAGTAGGCCTACCCCTTGCCCAAGGGGTACGCGGAGGTTCTGAAGGCATAAATTAAGGAGAACACCTCACATCATTAGGCACAAAGGAGGACACCTCACATCTCCCACCTACTTGCCGGTGTTGCCCAGAGGATGCAGTTTAAAGTCATACCCAGGATTTTATTTAATTTCATTATTTGTTTGAAAATTCTCAAACCAATTTTTATCATTTTTTAAAACTGCATCCATCATGGTACACTAGTGTGGTATTCTTCACTCATTTTGTGTTTTTTATTTTAGATCCATTAACAAATTAAGGTTAATTAACTCGATTGTATATCCCTGTATGAAACCCTGACTGAGGCCATGCAGTGTGGGATAGACAAGAGACAGCAGCAAGAACAACATTATTTTAAAATGTTTCACTTCACTAATTGTTTGGGGGATTTTGTGCTGGACTGAATTTTTCTTTCCTGAAAGTCACACTAGCTCAATTATTTCAACATAAATTAAGTGATGGAAATTGGGCTTGATTGTCTTTTGACAGCCAAAGGCAGTTTCAGAGCAGCGAATCTGTTTCAGAGAGTGGTGCCCAAAAATACATGCAATTTCCCAATAAACCATATATAGGTTAATAAAGTTTTATTTGGCATTTTAATTATACGGTGTAGATTGCAGAGCCAGCAATGACATCTGTCCACAGATGCAAACTATATTCAGTGAGAAGGTTTTGCATGTATATATATATGTGATTAGAATGATTTATGGTCTGGGAAAATGGTTCCGTGCTATATGTAATCAGGCAATGAATTGTGTCACTCAGTCCATGGTTGGAATTGTATTTTTGTTAATGTATTGTCCATGAATTAACACCCTTAATTGATGGCTAAATTTCTGGACCCTGATCACAAACATTTCTTTAACTGGCAGAAGTTTTGGACTGGTGTCCTAGAAAGTATGCAATCATTAGATGCTCATTTACAAATACCCACCTTTAAAGGGATAATAACTCTTCGTATGAGATCTATATTTCACAATAAAAACATTGTAAACAACTCATATAAATATAATATGTTCTGTTTTACCACAAAAACGGCAGTTATAGCTATTATTCTAATATCTGAGCTTGTCATCGGACTACGACCTCCATAAATGGCTATATTCTGTAATAATCTCTTAAGAGATTATTAAAAGATTATTACAAAAAAAAAAAAAAACTTTTTAGAAAAAAACCAGGGCCTAACTTTGAATGTAGAAATGGATTCATTAACCATTGGTAAGAATGGAAGAATTGCATGTTGTTTACTCCAGGAAAATTAATTTTTTGGCCAAAATGAACAGTTATTATCCCTTTAATAATTACATCTTTGTTTTCAGTTAATTTTCATTATTATTATAATCTTTTAGCCTTATTGCATAATTATCTTTACTTTCCTCATGTCGAGTATCCCAGTGACTCCCCTTGGCACAAAAGTTTTCATGTAATTAAAATGTCTCTCTATTTCTATAGTATCATAAATGGAAGTGTTACTTATCTCTTACTAATACAAATCTCTCTTTGGAGTGTCACACTGGCTTCTGGATGTAGATATTTATCTAGCTAAGGCTAAAGGTTGAAGAAAGGCACTTCTGTGGAAGTCATAAATATCAAACCAGTCCTTGTGACCTTCAGCAGTGTTTAGGTTTTGCTTATCATTCACACTCCTGTACTTCACTTGGCTGGTCGTGAATTTAGTATATTGGTTCTCTACTAAGAAGCGTTGTAAACATGCAGGGGAAACGGCGAGGTATTCTGGTTGTCGTTGTAATGGTTGCTGTTGTATTGGTGCTTGCAATAGGGATTATTATTGGGCATTTTGCAGTTCCCAAAACCCAAAGCTATCAGCAAGGGGCTGAAGATGAAAGCATATCGGAAAAGTTGATACAAGAAATGAAGGCAGAAAATATTGAAAGTTATCTCCGGTATGTAACAGTAAATTTTAGAACTGTGAAAGATGCAAAATGTTACATGCAAGAGTTTAATTAAAATGTAATCTGATCAAAATATATCACAGCATTGTTATTTTTATTGTTTCATACTTGCTAAAGTCATCTGTGATGACTTATCTACAAATATCCATAGGTGCTGTAAAGTATCATATATATGCATGAAAATTTTTCTATATTTCAATATTAATAAATTAAAATTAGCCACCTCTTTACCAAGGTAAATGAATGCTGGGAAGTTTCTTTTCTTCATACTCGCTTACTGTAAACAGTCATATAAATTGGTATGACTACAGTTGAATTGAACGAACATGTTTATGTTTTTGTATTCACATTTATGTGTCAAGGATTTCTTATCTTTTTATATGTAACAGCTTAAATGGAAGTACAAGTCTGTTTGCTTGTCAGCTTTATCTGTGTATTTAGTTTTAGATTTATTGTGGTGATTTTTTAACAGCTTTCAAAAGGTTTTATTTGCTTTCTGCAGCAACTTTTTTCCAATTTTAGATATTTTTTCTTGAATCATTTGTCAACATTTTTTGTTTGACTGGGCTTATGATAATTTAATTCTTGTTTCATTTTGCCAGAGACCTGACTGCTCATCCCCATTTAGCAGGCACTGCTGCAGATCTTAGCACAGCTCAGAATTTGTCAGAATTCTGGAAACAGCAGAGTTTCTCACGTGTGTCTATAGTTCCATACAGGGTGCTGCTGTCTTACCCGGATAAGGAAAACCCTAATCTGGTCTATCTCTTGGACAGTAATGGACAGACATTGCACAGGACACAAAAAATGGAAAAGATACTACGACCTGAGCAGAACCAGTCAGATGTTGTTCCGCCATTCCATGCTTACTCCAAGCCTGGAAGTGTTACCAGTGTAAGTTTGAGAGAAATATGATATGCTGAATGTTAAAACATTGTTAGTACCTCATTTCTCATTATATTTTAATAGACAAAACATAACAACAACAGTGTAATTGAATTTACAAAAAGGTTTTGTGAAAGGCCAGATTCTGATTATGTATAAGTACAATAATAATAATAATAATTATTATTATTATAATCAAATTAATAACAATAATAAGATTAATACTGATTTCAGAAAAAAATGTTTGAGAGCTATTAAAGTTGTGAAATTAATATGAAAACATTCAGTAAAATGATTTTGAACATTTAGAAATCCCCTCAGACAATCATGAGATGAAAAATTACAAAGTAAAAAAAAAAATTCTGAAATCCATTTGACACCAATGGCAATCAAATTAATCTGGGTATGTTTGTTTCATTTTTCAGGAAAAGTTGATTTATGTCAACTATGGAAGAGTGGAAGATTTTATTTGGCTCAAAGAAAACAAGTCAATGAACTTTAACAACACCATTGTCATTGCAAGATATGGGAAAATATTTAGAGGTGACAAAGTAAGTGGATATTTTGCTTCATATGCTGAAAACTTCACTTCAGTTAAAATTTAAGTGTAATTTTGTCTAAAAGTATTGATTGAGGGTACTCTGTATAGTAGAAGCTGATTATGTTAATCCAGATCCCTGAATTTATATGCAGACAGGTATTAAAAGCAGCAGATATGTTTGAACTGTTTTTTTGACAGTGTTGATTATTTCCTATATAATAACATCTAATGCATATTTCTACACAATTTCTCTCAGGCCTTCTGCGCCACCATGCAATGTCAGAAACCCTCTTGCTCTTTTTAAAAAAATTCTAAATCCAAATCCATGTAATAGGGACAGAGGTTCTGGAAATAAATGCAGATGAGGATTGTGACCTTCTAAAGGAGCCAAAACGTCTGTCAGCTGTGAATTCTGTGCTACATCCACCTGCTGCTAATAACTGTTTATGGCACATTCTATGCTGGCACACGTTCATAATAACCCCTGGAACAGTTAACCATTAGTTCACAGGCAGATCCAGGGGAAGCTTTAAGGATCCCTGGCAGTATTAAAATCTCAGTCATTCCCAATTGGACTCATTATAATGTATAATGGGCCTAAGATTTCCAAAAGAAAAAAAAAACTTCTTTAGCAGTGGAAAACGTGAGGTTGCACATAGAAAAAATGAAAGAAAAAGTGTTTCTGCAATTCCTGATGTTTTAGATATGTAACACATATGCAGCTTGCATCTGCAGTAACTTTTGGTATTATGACTGGCGTCTTTGTTTGCCTGTCTTGTTTGAATATCAGATGGAAATATATGCAGCTTTTTCTCCCTCTGAAGATATCAATATCTGAAACCAAACACTTTGCATGGATTAAGCTACATTGTAAAAAATGAAGAAAGGGGCAATAAATCAGCCAGCATTTTAACTTTATTGTTATTATTTTTACAGATAAATCAGACCTCAGGGGAGTGATCATCACAGAGGGGTGGTCACATCCAAATGTCTTGCTTTCCATCTAGATTTACCTGAAGTCTAGCTTTGAAGAAAAGATTTTAAGTTGGCCAAAAAAATAACCTGTATATGTAAAAAGGATAACAGCTGTTCAATTTGTCCAAAAAATGAATTTTCCTGGGTAAATGACTATTTTCCCATACTTACCAATGGTTAATGAGTCCATTTCTAGATTCAAAGTTAGTCCCTGTCTTTTTTTCTAAAAAGTTTTTTAAAAGAGATAATTATTACAGAGTACAGCCATCTATATGGAGGTCACGTGGTCTGATGACAAGCACAGATTTCAGAATAACTGATACAACTGTCGTTTTTGTGATAAAATAGGATATATTATATTTCTATGAGGAGTTTACAATATATTTATTGTAAACTATGAATCTCATATGAAGAGTTGTTATCCCTTAAAATTTTAAAAAACATGCATTTAGAGGACTTCTTTGATTAGAATTCTTGATCTTCAGTTCTGTAGCAGTCTTTCTTTCCACTCCTCTTGGTAAGGTATCAAATGCAGAAAACTTTGGTGCTAAAGGTATCCTCATCTACTCGGACCCTGCAGACTATGCCATTGACGGAGAGACCTCAGTCTACCCAGATTCTTGGTGGCTTCCAGGGACAGGTGTTCAGAGAGGCACTGTATACAATGGAGAGGGAGATCCCAGCACAGTCGGGTATCCATCTTTGGGTAAGGATGGGTCAATCTTTTCATATCCCAGTTTTTTTTAAAATTTGAATAGTCAAAATTGGGAAGTGGCTTCTCCTTTTAACAGATTTCATCCTTTTTAATATGTGATGGAAAGGAGGGTTTAGAAAATTCTGGATTAAAAATGTAAGAAATTCAAGGAAAAGGGGTGGGGTGAGCTCCTTTTTTGAGTCTTCAGTCTCATTCCATCCTTGTGAAGACCAAGACTGGTAGATAAGACAATATTTCCGCAATAGTTTTAATCAGATGGATTAATACTGCCCCAGTTTTGAAAATGAATTGCTTTTTCAAACTAGATGTTCAGATTCAAAGTCAATGATATTAATCACGTAAAAAATATTTGCAAATGGAATTTAATGATTTCTCTGAAATGGATCTCTTGGGGAGATTTAAACGGGTAGTCAGATTGTATTTATTTATAGGTGGGATATGAATTATTTACCTCTTCCACAGTGTGATATATTGATGACCATTTCATGTTTTTCTTTTTCAGAAAGTTCATACCGAGACATATCTGACAGATCTGAATGGCCACTGCCAACCATATCATCTCACCCTATTGGATATAATGATGCCATTCAGTTTCTTGGGTAATTTATGCAGAGTTTGTCTTTGATGAATAATTTAAGACATTTTTAACAATGTCACTTTAAGATGTAATGAATAAATTGAAAATTAAAGAATGAGCAAAGAAAAATGAGAGGATAACATATATAATGTTATATGTTCACAAATGTCCTAAAAGTTCTTCAGTGTGAAAAATAAAGGAATTAAAACTGTTTATATGTCAATTTTAGTGAACAATTAAGGATGACTGGTAGTGTTAAGTATGCTGAACTTTGTAAAGTTGAGCGGTTTTCTCATCATGCTACTTTATTATTACCACACTTATTTCATGTACCCTGTAGGGATTTTCGTTCTGTTAATTTGTTCTAGTATATAACAGTATCTGTATATATCAGAAAAAGATTTGTTGCCCCAGGCCTTAAAGACAAAATGTTTGAGCAATAAATTTCTGGAAATGCTATAAGTGTACACTCACACAAGTGTAATCATGAAATCAGAGCATGATTTTTCTTTGCAAATGTCATTCTTAGTATTGAGTTGAAAGCACCATAATTAATTGTCTAGTGCAATGCCGTCTTATTTATATTTAAATTTCCATTTTTTTTTTGCCTGATTATATATGAACTTTGACCTTTACCTTTTCCTATTTCTTGATTCATGTATAATTATAGCATAACAGAACATATAATAAGTCTGACCCAGATATGTTTATTGCCATCTTTGCTTTATTAAGGAACATGACTGGAGATGTTGCTCCACCAGAGTGGCAAGGGAAACTATCAATTACATATAGACTTGGACCTGGGTTCAACAATACTAGCTGGTATATAGTCTTTTTCTCTTCTTTTATATTTAACTTGTATATTTTTTGCAAGCATCAGTAGTGATTGTTCTTGGAAAAATCACAAAATTAAAATAGATTCCTGAAAATGTACAATTAGACTTGGTAATTAGTAAGAGATATTGTTCCTATTTTATGTGTGCAATAATTGCGAGGAGTTTCTGAGGCTAGTTTACTGTCAGAAATTCTGTGATTTCTTAAAATTGCAACAGAAATAGTTGTTAGTTGAAAATGTCATTTTATTAACATTTGTACTTTGATAAAACACAAAGTAAGTACGAATTCAAAATGCATATAGTTGAATATTATCATATGAATGATAATCATGTATGGTAAATCATTTATAAGTTTAAGATATTATTTTAAGTTTCAGCAGAGATGGGGGGGGGGGGGTGATAATCTCATCCCACATAAATCTTTTTATTGTGACCAATAAATTATATTTATCCAGTATTTTTATAGGTACATGTATATATTAAATCATTGCAAACACAATGGGAGTGGGTGCTTGAGAATAAAACTAATTCAGAAAATTCAAATTGGAGTGTTTGTGGACTGATCATGAGTTGTCACCAGATTGAGCCTGTATCACAGTAGCTGGAACCAAAGTGCTGCACATTTATACTATGGCCACAACAACTGAAAAAAAATGTATTCTGTGTTTTGCATAAAGATTTTCTGCAGATCCAAGACTTAGGTCAAGTTAAAATGCATATTTTGGAAATCTCTGCAGGAAATAAACATGTTAATATTTTATTGAATTTTGAATTTTTTCTTTTCTTTTTAATTTCCTTCTTTTCTTTTCAGGAAGGTTCAAATGAACATTTCCACACATGATGAGTACAGAACCACCTATAATGTATTTGGGTTTATTGAAGGCAGTGTTGAACCAGGTAAGTAATCTTGCTTTAGAGCAGTATCATCCAATTTTAACCTTTAGACCCACTAATAATTTAAGCTAATATACATTTTCTGGATGCAATATCACTCCCCCCTGTCTTCAGATGCAAAACCATGTACTTGCGTGTGGAATTATTGTGAATATGTATTTATTTGTCAGATACAAAATATTTCATATTAATTTAAGAACATCAGTACTATAAATATTGCTTCATTAAATTTTTTTTTTGGTTTCCAGACAGGTATGTTTTGATTGGTAACCATAGGGATGCATGGGTGTTTGGAGCAGCTGATCCATCTAGTGGAACAGCAGCCATGATGGAGATGTCAAGAGCTTTTGGTCAGATGGTCAAACAAGGTAAGGGGTTTTGCTAATTATTCTAATAGACTATAATAACAAATGTGGAGGGTCTGTATTAAAAATTGCTTTGATTCATGGGAACCAGTTTTAGAGTAAGTTCAACACATTACTCATATTTTGAATAAGAACAATAATATTTTGTGAAGGGCAACTGATATCCTTTAGAAATGTAAATGGAATACCTTTTCTGAATCAATATATTTAAAACAAAGCAGCACAGATTAATTGAAAAAAATTGTTTGCTACAGGATGGCGACCCAGACGTACACTGATATTTTGTAGTTGGGGAGCAGAGGAGTATGGTTTGATTGGATCCTGGGAGTGGGTGGAGGTATGTTTATGGTTTGGTTGCATCCAGGGAATAGTGGTAGTAATAAATGTGGAAACTTGTTTTCAGACCATTTCACCCAAACTTGTGTCTGCTTGAATCAAACTCAAATTCTCAAAGATTCAGAACTTTTCAGCCTTTTAATTGAAGTTGACTTCACCTTTATTACATACTTCTTTGTACCATTTCAGAACTTTGTGAAGAACCTCAATCAACGAGCAGTGGCATATTTGAATGTTGACATTGCAGTACAAGGTCAGTGTGGTAGATTCACGGTGAAGACACTGATTATTTTTATCATGGACCCGCATGTAGAATTAGGAAAAAAAAAGAAAATTGTTAAAGTGCAGTTTACATACCCGGTAGATGAACTAGATTTTTACAATACAATTTCACCATTCCAAAATTTAGAAAAAAAAATAAATAAGTTGATAAGCAAATTAAATGGTAAAATTATGAGTTACAGCCAAAGTTACAAAAAAATTATAGATATTTTGTTTTATTCTAGGAAATTACTCAATGCGAGCTTCTTCTACACCCTCTTTACACAAGATTATATATGAATCCAGTAAAAAGGTACAATATGGTATGGTTTTCATGCTGATTTTTTTCTTTGTATTGAAAATAGCCAAATAATTCTAAAAAGTAAAGAAAGGAAAGAGAATAAACAAATTGTTTTGTTATACTGTATAAAAACAAAGACTATCATTATGAGCTATGTCTGTAGGATTATTATTCTACACCTCTATCACAGATACCAAACCCCAACCCAGAAGAAGTGAAATCAGACAGGCCCTCTCTTTATGATACCTGGGTCAATTCTTTCCCCAGGAAAGGATCACAGCCAAAATTGCCATTGTGAGTATTAATATTGGCCCCAAAAATTGAAAAAAAAAAAAAAAAAACAGACTTGACATTTAATATGGAATATTTTTTTCCAAATCTTTTTCATCAATTTTGACAGATGGTGCGTCTAACCTCATCTGGCTGCTACCATGCAGGGCTCTTAAGCAAGATGGCAGTCCTTTGGATAGTTTTTTGGATTTTAAACTGGAATACCATTCCAGGCATCGGTCAGAACTTGTCCAATTTGGTTCAGTTTTGTTGTAAGACAAGTAGTCCATTGATTTGAGAAGTTAAGGCCTACGTGTACCCACACATTGTGCATGTGGTTCAAACCTGGTGATCTTGATGGCCAAGGTAGCTGCATGCTCATTCCTTTGGTTCTGTATGTTATCTGCAATTAAAAGTGCAGTTCTGTGTGAACAAGCATTTTCATCATGCAACCTAAATTTGTTCCTAAGGTGCCCCCTATCAAATGGTCGTTGAGTGGTTCCCAGGTTATTCCCGTATTTGATGTGGTCCAGGTTTTCATAGATGACTACCATTGATATTTTGGCACCAATATGATATCCACTCCAAATGCTGATGCTGTCAATGAACCTAGTCACTCTCCACATGGCATATGCTCCGTGGTAGGCTTCTTCAGGATGTGTGTAAACTCAAGACTACTTTAATGGTACAGGTGAAATCTGACACAATAAAGAAAACAATGCGGTTTCAGTGTTCTACCCAGAAACAGTCTTGGTCCTCAATTCATTAGAAAAACAGACAACAATGTTTTGCTGTTTACAGTGGCTTTCTTACAGGTCATCTGGTATTCTGACCTGCTAAAACCAGTCTGGTGTCGCTTTGAAAAAAATGCATTCTGGTAGTAATTTGCACATTTGGAATTTTGTGCGTAATGTGTGGTTTTTGTGTAGTTGCAGCAGTATATCCATTAGGACAGTGAATCCTGTATACTGGTGGTAAGGTTTCGATTCATTGGGTGTGGCTTCTGGGTAGGAACATCAATTTGGGCATAACTCCGTAAAACTGTGGGGGTTGTTCTGTGTGACACAATAATCAATGTCTGTCTTTTTCATGCCATTCTAGATTAACAATGTTGTAAAACACTGCTTAGCTCGTTTTATGTACTGCAAAACCAACTGTTTGAAGTTGAATGCAAATTTTTTAATTCTTCTGTGCAGATGTTGCTGACATATGGATACTTTTTGGACAGAACTATTCTTCATCAATGCCAAGCTTTGACCAGCCCAAAGGAGCACTACCCATCACTGCAAACTACACAATGCAGCAGTGCTACAGCCATTGTAGTCAGTTAATTAGTAGCGAAACACCTGACTACACACTTCTCTATTCACATGAGATTCACATGAAAGTTTTTATTATTATTATTATTTTATTATTATTATTATTATTATTATTATTATTATTTTTTTTTTTTTGAAAAAAGAACATATTTTTATCTAGGTGTACCTTTCAAAGTAAAATATTCCATATTAATTGTCAAGTCTGTATTATCCTTTTTTTTTTTTGCCAATGCCCCCCCCAACCAAAAAAAAAGAAATGGCTATAAATTTTTTAATGTTTGAAAAATTAGGGGCTACCATAATTTACTTGAAATATACACTAGGGAAAAAATAAACTAAAAAAATAATCATTCAATGCTCCTGGCAAATAAAAAGAATGGATGTTAATTTCCCAGCCTGTTTGTTTTTCTTGTCTAAGTTTATTGCAAAATGAATTGTTTCAGCATTAACGCTGTTGGTGCTGGGAGTGATTTCACAGGTTTTCTGCAGTTAGTAGGTGTCTCTTCCATGGACACTAGGTACACCTATAACACTGTAAGTTTATTGCTTTGAAAATGTAATGATGATGCCCAATGAACTTTCTTTAACATTTATTATCATTCATATAATGGAAAGTTGATTTGCTTGGTTAAGTAATGGTTGCAAAATTTCCTTTTTAATAAATTTTTTCTTCAACTATTTTATTTTTTTTTTT